GCGATACATATTGATATTGAATTATTGTCCAGCCCTACTTAAAGGTAGTTAAAAAAATATTGTATTTGATGCATGGAACATGCTCAAAAACCAAAATATAGCCTACCATAATATTTTGATGCCTATTGTTCAGTGGCAACACTGCAAAGACTTACTCGTCACACTTGATATCCTTGAGCAACAGAAGCCTGCTGTACTGGAAGTCACTTATTTGGGCGGTTCGCATATTTGAATGATCAAGCCAAACACACAGATGCTGTATTTAGATGCTGTGGTTAATCTGAAGTGGGCTCCACCGCCTCGATCTCATTAGGTCGCACAGACACGCGCTTGGTCGGATTACTCTTCGTGTGGGGATTATGGACAGGAACAGGAGACATGATTTTGGACGTGCTTTATGCGATGTGGTTTTTTTACGCGTTACGGCGTAACGATTTAGTTCAGCCTGAAATATCTTGACCTGTTTCCTTGCACCTGACTGCCTTCTCCGCATCATTTGGCATCATGGCTGACATACCCCAACTGATTAAAATCGGCGTTTCGCTGAAGACCACTCCGAATAGCGGACCAGTCTACTTCAAATCGGACGGGACGAGATTCGGTCAGACCCGAACCATCAAATTATTGACGGGAACTAAATATAAGATCCACGTGATCGTTAAACCGGGAGCGGTTGAGGCGACGTGAGTAGATAGTAATTTGAGAATTTGATAGTAATTTCAGAAATTGAAAATATGTTATTGGTTGTCTCATTTTGAACTGAAATGTCTTGTTTTGAATAAAGCCGGGTTTGCATCAGCGTTGAGCGATAAGGTGCATTGATGCATTTCTCCATGTCTGAGAAATAATTTTTCATGCTTGTAGGAATTAATAAACGACGTGTTTTTGTGATGTAAAATTACAAATGACCAGTGGTACCATTTTATAGCACAAGAGTAGTTTGACATAGCCTATACAAGACATAAATGCTGAATTATTATTGTAGGCTATACATATTGTACTTGGTACTCAATTAAAAAAAAAAAAACAATACCATAGTATTGCCATGGTTAACTGATTATAGTACAAATAAATGAAATTAAATGAAAGCAACACAGAATTCCGTGTGTAGCATGTTGTGACACATATGGGATGTCATGATTGTGGGGCTTATCCTACAGGATTGTGTCTACATCTCATGCACTGACAGAGGGAGCTGACAGATTGCTACCTTTGGCAGTCAAATCCAGACGATTAAGGCATCAGCCATGTCTGACTGGCTACATGTTGTAATGCATGAAGTATTCTTTGTTACATGTAGGCCTACACATATCTAGGCAAAGATGTCTGACAATTCGAATAGACATTGCGATCTGAATTTCTGTTTCACTTAGAAGAGGTATTTGTTATAATTTATCATATGCTTTCCATCCACGCACATGTATAAGCACAGTAAATGACTGATATTCAGAATGTGGAATAGGTTTTATTCAATCATAATATAAACATGCAATAAGTAAGCTGTCAACGTTTAGCTGGTGTTGGTGTGACTGTCTCTCCCTGTCTCACCTACACGTCTCATTCCTCAGATCCATGACTATTGCCGGAGTGACTTCCCCTCTGGAGCAGCAGTCTAAAGACCCTCAGTCTGTAGTGTACACTGGGATGTATGACACTGAGGGAGTGACACACACCAAAAGCGGCGAGAGGCAACCTGTTCAGGTCAACATACAGGTGAGAACTGACAACCTGAGAAGCTGAAGGTTTTTCAAATGGGTTTATGAGGTTTCTCTTTGAAGCTTATCTTAGAAATAGGAAGTACAGCAATGCAGCTCACTAGGATTTGAAACGAGGAATATATTATAACAGCCATGTGACTAAAAAAATAAGAGTTTCGCCTGATGTGTCGTTTCTGTGCTCGACAGTTCACTCTGGCAGGGGTTTTCGAGACCGTCTGGCAGGTCAAGTTCTACAACTACAACAAGAGAGACCACTGCCAATGGGGGAACAGCTTCAACAGCATCGAGTACGAGTGTAAACCCAACGACACGCGCACCCTCATGTGGATCAATAAAGAACTGTTTCTGTAAAAGAGTCTATGGCTAACTGTGAGAGAAGACAATCTCATGAAGCTAAACACACTGTCGTTCTCATTGAAATATGAACCAGCGGTTCCTGATAGTGTAGGGATGTAGCCTTTCCTGTTAGTGACGGTTTGTGATGAAGTGCGAGTTTTGTTGGATTTGTCTTGGTGCTGCTGGAAAATCAAGGCATTGTGTCTGATGCAAAATAGTTGCACGTTACCCTGTGTTGTCTCTTTTGCAGTTTTCCTTCCAGTTGTCTACCTCTGAAGAACCCAGTGAGGATGAAGTTTACTTTTATATTTATAGTTTACAGATTTGATATAGATTTCATGTTAGAATTGTTAGCATACAGTTTGTTAATCCAAGTAAATGTAGCATGTTTGCAGTAAATTTGATCTATATTCATATATTTCTAGTGTGTCTTTTTATGAGTGTTTTGTAATGGTGCATTGTGATTTGTGTGCAATAATTGTAAGTTGGGTGTATTTTTCCAT